TCCTGGTCCAGAGACGTTTTCAGTTTCTTGATTTATTTTTATTTCGGCGTACTTTTTTCCGTTTTTCTTCTTTGTCTTGAAAGCAAAACTTCCGGATTTTTTTTAAATTAATTGTATTATGTATATATGTTCACATGTTGTTTTTTTCGGTGATAGGGGGGGTATAAATTCGTTCACACCACGAAAACCGTATGTTGCCTTTCTTTTGCTTGTCCTCTGTCAGCGATTGGCGAATAGTTACAAAGGACTGTCTTTAGCACAGTGCTCTCGTGAGGAAAACGCAACTGCCATTTGAATGGGGACAATCCGGAATTTATGCGGTTCGGCCTAAGATGTAAGCAGACAAATTCGTAATATAGCATTTGTGTGTCACAATAGCGTGTATCGTCTTGTATTATAAGGACTAAACACGCACGGACAGCTACAGGCGATTCAGGTATCGACGTGTGCACTTCCCTACCCAAGAAGAGCATAGCAAAGAACGTTGATTTCCACCTGTAATCTAAATCGCAGTTACTTTACATCATTACAAAAATCCACATACGATGTTTCTTAAGCGGTTCTTTATATACAGGGTGTTTTTTTTTTTTTTTTATTCTTGCAGATTTGTTTTGAAAAAGGCCATGAAAGCTACACTTATGTGGTTTGTGCGAATTACATATAGGACATTATGTGGGTGGATAATGTTTGCGATAAATCGGCTAATTAAAATACTAATTAACTTTTAATTAGTGAAATAGACATATGGTTCCAATTAGAAATTTGCTGAGCGTCGTCCAAAACCCCTGAATTCGTCATTTTGAGGAAGAATTTCAGCGCGTGAGAAGCGTAGTAGTGCACTAAAGTTACCACTCGTGGAGCAGGTACAAGGTTAGAGGTTTCGGTAAGGCGCCCGCGCAATTTTTGTGTCTCTTATCTAGCCCCAGCCTTGTACTTGCTCCACGAGTGGTAACTTCAGCGCATTACTGCGCTTCTCACGCGCTGAAAGTAAAAATGACTGATTTAGGGGTTTTGGACGACGCTCAGCAAGTTTCTAATTAGAACCATGTCTATTTTCAATAATTGAAAAGTTAATTAGTGAATTTTAATTAATTAGCAAAGTTATCGTAAAGATTAGCCTCCGACATAATGTCCCCCTGGGCGTATAACTCAATCGCATAAACCACATAAGTGTATCTTTCAGGGCTTTTTCTAAACCAAATCTGAAAAAAGTGGTATATATTAATGCCTGCTCTTTTATTTTGTCTGTTTGTGACAGTCAAGTTAGAGAGAGACAGACAACTTACACTCATGACAATATGAAGATCATTTGCGGCATATAATCGGCTCTAGATCACGTGACCGCTTGTTCTGGTTTGAGCTAAAGGGATCATGAAATTATTTTTAGAGCGCAGCTCTTAGGCGCCCGTTTGCTGCTTAAGCGGCATCGCCGTCGGCGTCGGCGTCAGCGTAATTGCGACCCCCACCCTCCTCCCCCGAGGACCTCGGGAGGTCCTCGGGTTCTTTCGAAAGAACCTTGAGAGAACTTTGGGTTCCTTCGGGAGGACCTCGGGTACCTCGGTGACCTCGGGGAGGGGGGGTCACGTGACCCACCCCCGAGGTCACGTGACCCCCTCCCCGAGGTCAAGTGACCCCCCGAGGTCACATGACCTCCCGCATCAGTACCCTTCCTTCCTCATCAAGAGCTGCGCTCTAATTCGGCGTTACAGGGAGTTGTAAACGGCTTTCACCTTTTCACTTCTTTTTCTTCAACTCAGAAGCGAAGTGAGAAGTAAGGTGATCGTGACGTGCTTTGGCACCAAAGGCGATGACTTCAAACTTTCCACCCTGCCTTTTAAGCACACCATAGAACTTGCCGTTCCCAAGTGATTATAAGTACCATCACGCCACTCATTGGCCACAAACGCGAATTCAAATATTCGTCGACGGGTTCACTGTTGACGAGCGCATACGTCCGAGTGACGCAGTTCTCGTGCCCAGTGCGTGAGCTGGGTGCGACTGACTTGCTCGAGCGCGGCGGGTGCATCACAGTGAAGAGACAGAACTTTTGAAGGAAAGAAGGTACAAAATAGTCCGCTACATTTTCAGATTTTCGTACCAAAAAGAAGGCTTTATGCTTTCTACGCTCGTGTACTAGTATTATTTTCGCGCACTAAACAATGTACGATTAGTAAAATTCTAATAGATCCCAGCCGAAAATTTATTTTATGGTAAGCAGTGAGAGAGTGCAGGCGAGCTGGTAATCAATCGACATCTTGTAAACCCTGAGATGGGGAACGATAAAAAAAACGGACGAACACAACAAAATCTCAAAGATTTTCTGATGTTCGTCCGTTTTTTTATTGTTCCCCATCTCAGGGTTTACAAAATGTCGCTTATTTTATGGTCCCTTTAAAAAAGTCAGCGCTGCACTTTTTCTTTTTTACTTGCTTCGCGACTGCTATTGCACGGCACCACGATTAAAACCCTTGCGTCTAACGCAATGACAGGCGCAAAAAATCTAACGCGTGTTTTATATGTTATGAATATCGAGGAATACATCTAAGCGGTATTTACTGAAAGTACAAATGTGATTCCGTCACTCTTTTAACAAAAGAAACTTTTCATGGGTCGTACGCTGCAGATTGACGCTACCGCGGGCGCGTACTCAGTCGGCTGTTGAAGTGGTGTAAGAAGCTCCCGCTAGTAATGCAAAGCTTGTGCGTGCGATCTACAAATATTACAGGATCTTCAATGAACACTGCACTGCCGAAAACACGACCAATGTGCTCCGCGTGCCTCGGTTGAGATAGCTTCGCAGCTATCGAAGCTTGCCCGGCTTAGTGACTTCGATTTATTAGCGCATACCTTGTGCCCCGAAGAAAAAAACAAACAAAAACACAGTTTTTGAATGGGAACCTAACACTTTGGTTCCCCGGTGCAGCTTGGGGCATCGCAGAGCGCTAGTGCAGAAGTTCTGCGCATGCGCAACGTGGCAGTCCAAGCTGTTTGGGAGACCTAAAGCGTTGAGGCCACTATTCTAAAACTCTATAATGCCTGGTTTCGCTAAAGGTTCCTCCGCTTTGCTTGGGGAGAGAAGAAGACGTTTTCTTCCTCTTTTCTAGTCGCTTCTACTTGAGGGCCCGTCGATAGACGGAAGCAAACCGCGGTTACTGTCTCTTTCCTCCTTTTCTGCCCCCTGTTCGCGGTGTGGAGCTCAAGGGCCACGCCGAAATTCTCCAACGTGACAGCCAGGGCCGCAACAGCTGCAGCGTCCTTGTATTTAGTGACGTACTGCTTGGTATAGACGGCAACTGCGGTGATAAAACCGCTGGAGTGCCTGCCAGCGGCTTTCTTAGTTGGCGTGTGCGAAAGAAGAGGTCGCGGCCGGAAGGTGCCGGCGAGTGACGCGACGGGAGACGCGGTTTGAAAGGCCGCAGGAGAAGAGGACGGCATCGATCTCCGGTTTTTCTTCCGAAGCCGCACCGCTGGCGTGTCCCGGATCGCGGTTAACACTCACTTTGACGCTGGGTGGTCGCAGCTGATCGCTTCCGGGTACCCCATCTTGTAGGCGCGCTAATATTTATGTCACTATGAACGAAAACGCGATCGACTCCCAGCTGAGGTGAAAAAGGTTTTGTCTTTAGATCGCGGCTCGTGATCTCAGGCACAGCGCGCGCAATCCACTGGTGCCGGCATGCAGCGTCTCCTTTGTTGCCCGGGGATCGCGTACCCCTTACAAAAATTATCAATGAGCTTTTATTAAGTTTCGAATGTATTCTTATAAAATATTATACGCGGCTTGCGTTTGACGCAAGCCATACGTTCCTTGCGTGTGTAATTTCTACTCGTTGGTGAGGGAAACAAGCCCGATAGGGATTAATGTATGCTACAGAAGGTAGAGAAATCCGCGGCAAGGCCGCCCCAACGGCCAGGTGTTAGTGCAAGCCATGGCGTCATATAGGCTCTGCACTAAAGATATGCCTGTACTTCTGTTTTAGAGTAGACTGCGACAACTTTTTCTTATCCTGCTTTAATCGTCAACCTACGATCCTTTTTGTTGCTTTTTTCTGTTCGTTCATTGCTGTGGATACGAGTTCCTCTGCGTCAAAAATTTAAGTGAACAGAATTCAAAAGTTCTTTCGGTAGAATTTTTCATTTAAAAAGGCCATGAAACAATATTTATACTTTCGCTATATACTACTTAGAAACACACCCGAAACTTAATAACCGAATAAACCTGCCTTGGTTTTCTTTCTAATCAAAGACAGTCGCAAAAAAAAAAGAGAAATATGATTTTTTTTTATTTTTGTTTGGCGACCTTTTTTTGACCAGAAAGGAAACCAAGGCAAGTTTTCTACTTTGCCAACCCGAGCCACGCGCTGGGGTTGGCAAAGTAGAAAACGCGTGCCGAGCTCCAGGAATTGTTAGATTTCGGTTTCCCCATCACCGTAGTGCTGGGACACGAGCCACTACCCCAGTGTCCGCCGAGGCATTGCTTGTTACGACCCAAAGTCGAACACTCACGCAGTTCTCGTGTCCAATCCATAGGCCGCGCTCGATTGTTGACAGGCAGGTAGTTTTGATGCCACAATTACGTCATCAAGTTTTGTGAAGAGAGGACTCAAAAGAAATAGTCCCCATTTATCCTCGCAATTTCACCGACACAAAGAAGCTTCTGAATCAGTGCTGGTTTGTGCGAGTATAGTCCTTTGCATCGCTAATCAACGCGGCGAAAAATGCAGAGTCACTGAGCTGTGGACGCATTCGTGGCGTCTGATTTACCGCACAACAGAGCAACAGCGCATGCTCAGATGGGATTCAACAGCCCAGCAGACAAAAATGGCAGCACACCGAAGGCGATTTTAGCGAAGGTCCATAGTTGGTCCAGTACACCTCTGCAAAGTCATGAACATTACAACCCGATACCTTCTCGTGACCCCTTTCATATTGCATCCCGAGTTTAAATGGATAAGGGTGGAACAGTTATTGATCTTCATTCAACGCTCTTTTCTACGCAGTATCCTGTATGCCGACATCGTTAACTTCACCAGGCTTTCTGAACAACTCTCGGCTTCGGATCTTGTGCAAGCACTCAACGAACTCTTCGGTCGCTTCGACCAAATTGCTCAGGTAAGAGAGCTTTGTTTGCACCCAACGTTAGCTGTGCGGCCAAACCAAACATTTGTCTTTAAATTAACGTAGGTCTGGTAAGACTGTTGATCACCTTCAATCGACCTAATATATCTATTCTCACATTAATTGGGATGACATTTTTATTATATTAGTTACGCTCTTTTATTTTCAGATAATTAAAAAATAAAACCTAGCGATTTTTTTTATTGTTCCGTGTCGTAATGCGCCCGGCACACTAAATTCATTGAAGTATATTCATTTTCACTAGGCCAAACAGAGTTGCTAGAAGGGGCTCCAAACGACTTAATGAATGGTTTCTAATCTTGCGAGTTGAGTCAGCTTTATCGTATTTGATGCCAATACTGTGTCAAAATGCAGCGGGACAAGAAATCTAGGAATATGGGCATGTTCATGAATATTGTTTTCTGGTCGGTGCAGAACTTTCGGCGTCGACCTCGCGCAAAATCGAAGCGATCCTAGCGGCGTAGTGCCGCACAAAGCGTCTTGGGTACATTTTTATCCACCGTTTCGGTTTCAATTTTCCAGCCTGAATTCACGACATTCCGTCATGGCCAAATACAGCGCATGTAGTTTCGAGTATATGACTTTCCTGAAACGCATGGTGTTGCCTACCGATACGTATAGAATACGCTGTGGCAAGTTTTTCGGGGGCTGCGACGTACCAGAGTTTGTGCGCAGGTAAACAAAGAAAGACGAATTGTACTGGACCGACCATTCTGCTCTATAGCCTTAATATCGTAGACTTCTCAAACGATCCGCGACACGGGAGGGTCGTGCTCCAAGCTGGGTTGGTAGCCGGGCCTAGAGAAAGCTACGGGACACTGCAGGCGTTACTTCCACTTCTCGCTAAGTGAGTAATTATGGCCGATGGAGGTCCGTGTTTCAAAGGATGCAATGCAAGCGAGTGCTGACTTTATTTTTATCCGGTGCTAAGATGTACTACTTTGTCAACGGGGCAGTCGAAATCGAAACCATGCCACTCCTCTCCATGGCCGAAAATGTCCTATAATACAACGCGCGCAATGTTGCATGCGGGGATTTTTTATCGTCTGTGGTTTTTTTAACGATATATTTCACTGCGTGACTTGTCCTTTACACTGAATTTACAATTGTAAGTGGTGCCCGGGAAATTTTAGGACATGCGAATTTTTTGTGAGTGTTTCAAGCTGCGTGCGACACAAGACGCTTGACTACTCATTTTTGAGTAGGTAGATAGGATGATTGACGACGCTCCCTAATTGAGCGCATTTAAAAAGTTGGGCAATTTTGTCCAATGTTTGTTTTCACTTCCTTTGTGGAAGACGACAGAATTTTCTACGTTTTGTCTACGTGCTAATCAAAGAGAGCCCCATGTCTTTTGTTTTTATCTGAAATTCACATATTTGTGCCAACAATTTTAAAGTTTGAAGTTAGATTTATTTTAATTATTACGATACAAGCGCGGTAGGGAGAGTTAGTAGCAAACGCCATTTTTTCCAGATTGGCCCTCCTCCTCGGCAGTTTACAGCAATTGCAATATTGCCGCGCGCAGGGCTGAGAAAGCAACGCTCGGTCACGGACCTCCAGAAAGTTCCCGTTTATTCATGTAGCGCACGTAACTTCTATTATTCATATCCATGTATCTTCTGCTTTTGTTTTTCTAGAAAGTGCGTGTTCATTCTCGCCCCGATCACGCGACGCTCGAGGCGCTTTCGCCGAATCTTCGAGATAGCGACGTACTCTAGATAAGAGGCCGCCCGCGACCTTGTCGAGTCAGTCTCCCCTCAGCGTTTGATCATGCTGCTTCACCGCCTTCGACGCCCGCGACGCTCTGTTGTTATCTTTCTTTTGTACCCTTTTATTTTTTGGCACAAGTTCGCCACATTAAACGTTTATTTATTCCTGTTTATTTCTTGTTTATTAGTCACCACCCATGACATTTTGGTGGAGGTGCTGGGTACCGCATGTCCGTGCAGCGCAGCCCTCCAAGTTCCCGCACTACAAGTCCGAACCCAAGCTCCCGAGGACCCAACGAAGACCAGATCGAGACTCGATCAAGTCGCCGAACCCAAGGGCTACACCCGGAATACGGACTTTTACCACCCAGGACCAGGCAGCCGACGATGGCCAACCAGTCGCAGACCCCCGCCGCTCCTGCCGCCGTCTACCTACCCGTCGCTCCTCGGACACCGGCTCCATTCCACGGCGAGCAGTACGAAGACGTCGAAGACTGGATTGACCAGTATGAACGCGTTGCCCGCCACAATTGCTGGACAGACGAGCAGCGCCTACACAATGTCTATTTTTCGCTTGAGGAGACTGCCAAGCACTGGTACGAGAATCATGAGTCCTCCCTGACGTCGTGGGACATTTTCAAGAACGATCTCAAGGCTACCTTCATCAACCACCACCGCCGAGAGAGAGCCGAGGACCTACTGCGAACCCGAACCCAGGGCCCCAACGAGAGTGTCACCGGTTTCGTAGAGGACGTCCTGCGCCTGAGCGCCCGCGCCGACCCTCGGGCTACAGAAGAGAAGAAGCTACGAATCCTCATGCGGGGCGTGAAAGAAAACATCTTTGGTGGCCTTGTCCGCAGCCCTCCGACAACTGTCGAAGACTTTGTCGCCGAGGCAACGAACATCGAGCGTGTCCTGCAAGCCCGAGCCAGCCACTACCAGAGGCTACCCGGCGTCAGCGCGGTTCCGCCGTCCGCTTGCGACCTTGGCTCCAGCATCCCAAGCATTCGCGAGATCATTCGCGACGTCGTCCGGGAGGAGCTGCGAAAGCTACTACGCGCCGCGGACCGACCAGCTTCGCTCTCCATCGCTGAGGTCGTGCGGGAAGAGCTGCAGAGAGCCATTCAACCAGAGGCTCCCATCAGCGCAGCAGTCTCCGAAGAACCCGCGCTAACTTACGCCGCAGTGGCCCGACGGCCACTGCCTCCTCCTCGCGCCTATGTCGCGCCGCCCCGACGCCACTCCCTGCGCCGCAGCACGACCGACGCCGCGACGACCAGCCCCAGTACGCCAGCCAGGAGCCCCGTGCACCCCGGAAGACCGATGTGTGGCGAACGCCCGACCGACGCCCCCTGTACTTCCACTGCGGGGAGGCAGACCACACCTACCGCCGATGCCCATACAGTCGACTCGGGCTGTGCGGATTCCACCCAAGCGACCCGCGCCCCCGGTATGGTGAACGCCCTCGGGAGATCGACGAGTACCTGCGACGACCCCAGTCCCCCGACGCTGCGTCCCGCCGAGAGTTCCGGTCGCCGTCAACGCGACGTCCAGCTTCGCCGATGCACCGACCCCGACGTGAAAGCCTGTCGCCCCTCGCTCCTCGCCGGGGAAACTAGGCGCGGCAACCCCTGGAGGTGGAGTTGCCGAAGACGACCGACGTAAAGAGCCTCCACGAACGACGGAGCGCTCCCACTCTCCCGACGCTACGCATCACAACGAAGCTCCTGCTTCGGTGTCCAACAACTTAAACGTTGTTATTGACGGCCTCGACTCATCGGCACTCGTGGACACCGGAGCAGACTACTCAGTCTTGAGTGGGAGGCTCTCTCGCCGCCTGCGAAAAGTCACGACGCCGTGGAATGGACCCCAAATACGAACCGCCGGAGGACATCTCATCACGCCAGTCGGGAGATGCACTGCTCGCGTCGAGATCCACGGTGAAACGTGCCCTGTCAAGTTCGTCGTTCTGCAAGACTGTTCGAGGGACGTTATCCTCGGAATGGACTTCCTCTGCGAGTATGGCGCCGTCATCAACCTCGGGGCAAACCAGTTGACGCTGCGGAAACCTGTTTTTTTCGCCGGTGGAGACCAACACGACATCAACCGCGATCCGAGTTATCGCCGACCATGTGAACCTACCGCCGCGGTCGAGTGTTTTCGTCCCCGTTATAGCCGACGCAGCCATGCATGGTGAAGCTCTTCTGGAAGGCAGCGTCCAACTGCTCCTCGAAAAAGGAATTGGCGTCGCAAGAGGCGTAACGGATCTCCAAGAAAGACGCACAACTGTTCTTGTGACGAACTTTCGAGAGGAGCCGCAGCACCTAACGAGGGGTACCACCGTGGGCCACGTCGAGGAGCTTCAAGCGCCAGCGGTGGTCACCGCAATCTCCGAGGAAACCTCGTCGCCACAGCAGAAGAGCACGACGCCGCCGCCGCTCGACATTGACCCCGAGCTCCCAGCTACGAAGCGCCGGCAACTGATTGATCTCCTTGCCGAATACAGTGACTGTTTTGCCACGACATCAAAGATTCGCCAAACACCAGTGGCGAAACATCGCATTGTTACCGACGACGACGCACTTCCTGTCCACCAGTCGCCGTATCGGGTCTCCTTAAAGGAAAGGAAAGTGATTCAAGATCAAGTCCAGGAGATGCTCGACGACGACATCATTCAACCCTCAAGAAGCCCATGCGCGTCCCCAGTCGTCTTTGTAAAGAAGGACGGAACCCTGCGGTTCTGCGTGGACTATCGTCGACTGAACGCCGTGACAAAGAAGGACGTCTATCCGCTCCCCCGCATCGACGATACGTTAGACCGACTGCGCCACTCCCGATATTTTTCGTCGATGGACCTGAAGAGTGGTTATTGGCAGATTGAAGTCGACGAACGTGACCGGGAGAAAACTGCCTTCGTCACTCCCGACGGACTATACGAATTCAAAGTGATGCCGTTCGGACTTTGTACAGCACCAGCCACCTGCCAGCGCGTCATGGACACCGTGCTGGCAGGTCTGAAATGGCAGAGCTGCCTCGTCTACCTGGACGATGTCGTGGTATTCTCACGAGATTTCGACGAACACCTCAGACGACTTCGAGCCGTGCTTCAAGCCATCAAGACCGCCGGCCTGTCACTCAAGCCAACAAAGTGTCGGTTCGCCTATGGGGAACTAAAGTTCCTTGGCCACGTCGTGAACAACAAGGGTGTTCTACCTGACCCCGAGAAGACCCGCGCCGTAGCTGCATTTACGCCGCCGTTTG